AATAGGTTGCAGATTACAAGTTACCCTATTTAAAATGTTATAAGTAGTGTAACTATTTCAATTACTTTATTAAAGTAATGTACCGGATTACATTTGATTACTTTTCTCAATGTCTAATGTTTTCAACTGTTAGTCATAAAAATGTTATAAGCATGATGGTATAAGCTACAACTGTACATTTCCTGCCTGGCACCACCCTCTGCTACTTATACCCAGTGATGGGAAGGTTACTTTGGAAATGCAATAGGTTGCAGATTACAAGTTACCCTATTTAAAATGTTATAAGTAGTGTAACTATTTCAATTACTTTATTAAAGTAATGTAACGGATTACATTTGATTACTTTTCTCAATGTCTAATGTTTTTTGAACTGTTAGTCATTTTCAAACATTTAAACCAGGCAGGGTTAACATTACAGTAGTGCTGTACACCACAAACGCACACAAACAACACCACAACCCCAATTCCAGAAAAGTTGGAAAGTTTTGTAAAATGCAGTCAAATCAAGAATCTGTGATTTGTTAATTACCTTTAACTTTTATTTGATTTGGAAAAGATTTCCAAAGTTTTCACTGACCAGCTTAAATGTATTTTGTAAATATAAACAAATGTTAATTTTGATGGCTGCAACACACTCCAAAAAAGTTGAGACAGAGGCAAAATAAAAGTGAAAAGGTTATAGAATATCTAAATTAAACTGCTTTGAAACAGTTTACAGTAAGCAGGTGAATTGGTAATGGAATTTAGGTATTTCACCAACTACCATAAATAATATTGTGAAAAGATTCTAGAGAAATCTCGGTCTGTGTAGCGGGAATCTCAGCGGGGTTCTCTGAGCCAGAGCTCATTTCACATAGTCAGAAAGACAGTGGAAATGTGTGCTGTGGTCAGATGAGTCCATGTTTCAACTTGTTTCTGGGAAAAATGGATGTCGAGTTCTCAGTCTAGGGATGGGCGTATCGATCCGAAGTATCGATACTGACGCGAGTATCGAAAGTATCGATACTCAGGTCTAACTCAATCTGACCTAATGACATCATTATCACATGGCACAACTGATTGGTTCTCTCCTGTATGGGTAGCCAATGAGCTCGCTGCTCAACATTCAGATATATGATGAGTGCTTACAGTAGCAGTTGCAGCTAGTGGTGGGCAGAGCGAGGCTTCATGAAACACTGAAACAGTCGAAGCAAATGTGCCGAGGCTTCAAAACAATTCGACACCCATCTCTACGATGACATCTAGTGGTCATTTTGAAGTATTGCTCTGAAATAACATTAATAGCGAATCAGGTAAGCGAATTGACGGGAGTTGGGGGAGTGGTTAGTGTTCACGACTGGTATGTTGTCAGAACCTGTCACATTAGGTTCGAATCTGGGTGAAGCATAAAGTTGCAGCTAGTGGTGGGCAGAGCGAGGCTTCATGAAACACTGAAACAGTCGAAGCAAATGTGCCGAGGCTTCAAAACAATTCGACACCCATCTCTACGATGACATCTAGTGGTCATTTTGAAGTATTGCTCTGAAATAACATTAATAGCGAATCAGGTAAGCGAATTGACGGGAGTTGGGGGAGTGGTTAGTGTTCACGACTGGTATGTTGTCAGAACCTGTCACTTTAGGTTCGAATCTGGGTGAAGCATAAATATAATTATAAAAAAATATTTGAAAGGTGTGTTTTTATTGTTCTGTTCTTGTAATGTGTTGTAACAGCTCTCTGACAACTGAATGAACTCTTTGTGAATATGTTTTTTTGGTCGTGAAAAAATTAACATTAATAACAGACATCAAACCACAACACCTGGCATGTTTTACATATAAAGATTTTTATTTAAATATATGAATTGTTCTGCTGCATTAACTCCACTTTTATACTTTGCGGGAGTTAGGTTAAGACAGATGTGCGATTGTGTGGTTTGTTCCCGACCTTGTCAATCAAAAGCAGATTCGGGTCTCGAAACACTTGTGAAACTCCCCGATGCTTTGTATCGCCTTAGTCACGTGACGTGGGTGTTTCGAATCACACTTCGGAACAGTGTTTCGAAACATCTTCGGCGCTTCGGGATCTCGACACCGTGTTGAAACGTCAGTTTCGCGTCAGCCATCCCTAGTTGCAGCTTGCTACAGAAAACCTCCACCTTCCCCAGCTCCACCTGTATAGATCTGCTACGAGGTGATTCATGTACGCTATATGGGGGTTATTTCATGTATGTTATATTTGCAGCAGCAATATTTCTTACATGCTCACAGCAGCCTGTTGTGGATGTATTACCAGTAGCAAGTCTCTGTACTTGCTCTGCCGCAGCAGCAGCAGCAGCAGCAGCGTAGCAGATCTATTCCGCCAAGACCAAATACATTAACATTGTCATGTACATTACCATGCCAATCCCTCCGAGAGTTGTCATGACAGAAATAACAATTTGAAAACAATGTGTTAACATCAAAGGACACCTTACATCTGTCCACAAACCAATCATTAACACTTTTCTTAAGACCTTTGTGCAAAAACAAGCTCCTCGAATCAACAAAATCTGGACTGGTGGTCATTATGCAACTCAGGCATTTTTTATTTATTTTTTCTCTTTAAAATATTAGACCAACGTATCATTATATACAACTCAGTATTACAGGTGATACTAATACTGCTAACATTGTTGGCAATTGTGTAATAATGTTGGAAGAATTGCTTTTGCAATTTAGATTTGCTGGAAAGGTGCAAGCTGCAGTAATCGTCTTGATTTTGTCTGTTACAAAATGGTTGACATAGCAATGACTGATCAATTATCTAAAATCTCGTATCTGACCATCTCAGATTTCCAAACTCTTCTCCAAATCATACTAAGTGTAACAAACATACTTGTCCTGAATTTTTATACCATATATATATTCAACCTTTTTCCTTTTGCCATCATACAATGAACACACAGTTCAGCTGCCTAGTTGAAAACAACCCATGATACCATGATGGTGTAGTTAGGGCATCTACCAGCAGAGGGTGCTGGGTTTTTTTTTTCTTCCAAAATGTGTGACACTGATATGTGTTGAGTGAGAGTGAACATAACTGAGTAGAAATTGTTTCTCTGAGTCGAAAGCCACAAATTATCAAATACGATCTTTATTTCTTAAGAATCTGATTTCTGTTCCACCTGTGATTTCCTTTTGGAATAATTTGTTTGTTAACCTTAATTGGGAAAAATTCTTTCTCACAAACAAAGTGAAAGATTTAAATCTGACATCGAGCTAACATGCTCTTTTTGTTCGAATTCTGAAGAAACTGTGGTACACTTATTTTGGTCATGTCACTACACTCAGAAGCTTTGGGATGATATTGGTGTGTTTGTCAAGCGTAAGATTTTGCCAGGCTTCTCAGTACACGAGAAGCATTATATTTGGGTATTATGACTCAGATTTTAAGCTCATACACAGGTTCTACCCTGTAAAGAAGTTTATACAAAGATTTAAATCTGACATTGAGCTTACATGCTCTTTTTGTTCGAATTCTGAAGAAACTGTGGTACACTTATTTTGGTCATGTCACTACACTCAGAAGCTTTGGGATGATATTGGTGTGTTTGTCAAGTGTAAGATTTTGCCAGGCTTCTCAGTACACATGAGAAGCATTATATTTGGGTATTATGACTCAGACCCCACAAACGAAAATATCTGTTTTGTTATTAATTTAATATTTTTTCTAAGCAAATTTCACATTCACAAATGCAAATTTTCTACCTGTAAACCTGTCTTCTTGTGATGTATGCTTATTCTTCTGTATGTTCCCATTCTCTGCAATAAAAAAATAAAAAATAAATAAAAATAAATAACTGAGTAGAAATATAAATTTTTATAATATATTTAATTTGACATTCATATTAAATGTGAACTGGGTACAAAAGAAGCAGGTACTGAAAGCAGAGCAAACTGGATGAAACATCAACTAAATATTAGTGTGAGGGGTAAAATACAAAACAAAACAAACAATGTGAAATATAAAAAAAATATCTCAAAATTAAGACAGCGTAGTGTATAAACCTATAAATGCTGCTGAGAAAAAAAGACCATCTGATACATTAAAGGCAAAGTGTGTCACAATTAACTGCACATTATATATGCACAAGAGCTTAAGATATGCATGTGGACCATCCCATAAAAACATTTTTGTACAATTTCAAGTACACAAATTTAAACATTGATGTATTTAAATACATTTCAATTCTCTTAAAAATAGGTCCGTGATATATTTTCCACAAAAGAAGTCTCAATTGAGTTTCAAATGTCTATTAATACTGATTTTAAGTATTTTGATCAAAATAAGACAAACAGCTCTAAAAAAAGTAAAATATTGAACCGTTTTAAATTTAAGCACATTATCTGAACAGTGAATGTCCTTGTCCCCCATCTCAGACGTTGCTTGAGGTCATGTGATCCATCTGGGTTTGTCGATTGGGTATCAGTTCCTCACTTATGGGCAATCTGCATAGTTTGCTAGACTGCCCATGCTTGAAGATAAGAACAAAACAATACTTTGATTGGTTGGGACCCTTGAGAATTGTAAACCAGTCATGGGGGAAGCAGAGGTAGTGTTAGGAAATTACATCATGAGTATCGCTGTTCGGCCTCTGCCTAATTGCTACAGGTGGGAGAGGTTTGCCATAGAAATCTGCCAATGAAAGAGAGTAATGGAAAAAAAAAAGATTTAGGTCAGCAATGTCCTTTTTTAAAAAAAAGGATCAGCTAACTTCTACTTACTAAAAAGGTTACACTACATCATTAAATTCATAGATCAAAATGACATGTGTTTAACATTCAGAAGAGGACATAGAACATTACATGCAGCATTCAGAATGCCCAAAATATTTCCTGTAAGCATCAGGAAAACAAATAACACACATTAGCCACAGCGAAGGAAGTGAGGTGTTAAGGAGATCATGCTAGTAGCATTTATTAGGCACAGTATCAAGGTGGATGGTTGTGGTATTTCTTTTGACAGATGATTGTACAGGAAGGATGTGGCTGAGGCTTGCTGTATGGATGAAGAGAAAAAAAGCTTTAAAAACAAAATTATGGGAGACAATTACATGGTTAGGAAACATAATAGGGGGAAAAAGAATGTTAGTGATGCGCTTGCTGGTTGACATGCTGGACAGGGAACAGATGGCAATGAACCAACAATTACCAGAATGTCTTGTATCTCCAAGAGGCTCAAGTTTGGGGAGCCTAGAAACTTTAGGAGTAGCCCATCCAACTAAAACAAAGAAAAGTTTTAGCTGTGAGAGTCATTAACATGAAGCAACAAAAGGATAAACTAGGACAAATCGGTGGTTAAAATGAGACAAATCTTGCAAACATTTGACTAGTATGAAAATCCAACAGCAAATGATAGAAAAAAAGTTTCTCTGACTTCCCTGAAGTCTTGTGCTGCAGAACATATACACCACTGCAATGTGTTTACAGCAGGCCTGCAATTTACTATAATGCATAATTAATAATCTGCTTAATTAGGTTAAATTAAGTATTAATAATATATGCTATCAAAAAAAAAGTTGCAAAATGCAAATATATGTAGAATTTTCCACATGAACACACACATTCCCTCTTCTGAACATAACAGTGTTTTACTATGCTTTTTCCTGTAGTTATATTAAAGCTACACAATGTAACTTTTACGGGTTAAATAATAAAACAGCATGTTCCTCCTGAAGAATGCCTTTTTTTTTTTTTTTGGTTGTGCTTTGGCTTTGCTCCTCTGCACAGATGAATGTGTCTCGAAGCACCAGTGTACATATGAATACAGGACATCTTATACAAATTGTATATTCTACAGATATACAAGTACACTAACCACAACTAGAGCTACCTTTTTACAACTGGAGCTACATTTTTCTGTGTACAGATTTGACGTGACTCGCACGGGGGAATTATGTATGCATGCAATTTCCTGCAAAATCCGTCCCGACAGCTCTAATATATCAATCATTATTATATCATAGTGTATTTCGGTAATGACATTGTTTGGAAAATGGATTTTTTGCACACTTTCATTATAGCATTTTGTCTTAATGGGAAAATGAATGGGCTGCTCTTTATTTTTATTGGGTTTCAATTATTATGGGTAATTTAAAACCTAAACTTCATGTACAACAACGTTTGATTGCACTCCCTTTGGCATGCATGTGTTGCACACCTCTTGGCATTCATGTGCAGCCTATGAAATATCAGAAGTATTTCAAGTTTAATGACTACAGCTACATGCATGGTACAAGGATTAGTTGTTTTACAAAATGGAAATATTTGCATTATAAGAACAGTAATATTACAGTATCATGTTACATAACAGTAATATGTACGGTATGTCTTGATGAAAACCTTTAAAACACAATGAGCACAAGCAATCTGTCAAAGCAGCTGGCATGGCAATGAGGCCACATTAAACTGTATTCTTATGGCGTTCTTTGAAGCGTTTAATATAAAGTGCTCCTATGCTTGTGTTGTACAGTTTTTTTTCTGCTGCAGCTCAGCACCTGGCCTCAACTATTTTTCAAATGTGTGTGTGTGTGTGTGTGTGTTTAAAAGGAATGCTTATTCCTATTGCAAATGGACATCACTGACAAAGGTCCTCAGTGTAAAGACTAAAGACCATTGTACATTGAAATTTTATCAATTAGTTGTTCATGTCTGAGAAACAAGTTGTAAAAGACACATTCCTACCTGGTAAGGGAGGAGGAGTGGGGCTTTTGGGTGCTGCTTCTTCCACTCTTAGAGGGTCGACTCTGTGCTTACGTTTCAATCGTAATTTCCTAGTTTTCTTTTTGGTCTGGTCCACTGCTCCTGATCAAAGGTGACAGAGACATTGAAATCACTTCATCCACTCCAAGAAATCGCAGAGGTAAATAGGTTCTTCATGCATTATAATAGCAAAAGCTTGTATTTGAAATGAACTGACAATAATATAATAAACCTTTACCCACTTATTACTCTTGGTGTGATGGAGGCCTTTTGAGGAATAAGAGGCACTACCTGATTCTGTGCTCTCCGGGGTCTGTCTCTCGCTCTCTTCATCCTCCTCCTCTTCATCATCCTCCTCATCTTGAAGGACAGTCTGTTCTTGCACACTGCCCAGCTCGCCACTTTCTCTCTGTCTTTGCATCTCTTTCTCTTTGTTCAATCTGTCTTCATTCTGGGATTTTTATATGAATTTAGTATTTATATCTTAATGATTTCATCCAACGTGCATTTAAAAGAAACATTGTGATAACTAACCTCATTAAAAACATTGTTTATTGGCTGGAATGGGTTGAGCATGTTGACATCATCTAGCTCCTCCTCTTTCAATGCCCTTCCTTCTTGCTCTGCCTCTTCTCGCTCCTGTCTGTCTCTGAAAACATCGTCATCAAACTGTTGTTTGCATTTTGAACACTTTAAAGTAATGAACAAACGGAAGTAGAGACAGGTCGTTTCTTCAGTATTGTGACATACATCTGACAGAAACAGATAATCGAAAAAAACAAACAAAAAATGTGGTGTGGTAGGGCTAGGCCTGTCTGAAAAATGCACTTTTATGGAGATTTTTCCATCTACAGATTTTTCCGAACCTTCTTTTCTCTGTAAATTAAGGGTGCACGCTATTGCTGAAAAAAACAATCACTACTTAGCAGTCAGATGTCCGTATGCAAAAAGGCACAGATCCCTAAACAAGGCCATATCTTCAGATGAAACTTTTTTGTAGAAGCATTTTTTAAATTTGAACTAGCACCTCATGACTACACCACGTTATGTACAAGAAGCTGCAAAAGACACTGGCACAAGTGGAATGTAAAAAACATGGTGACATTAATTTTTAAGTAAATATAATGGGCGATATATTGCGTCACCAAAAATGATTGAGGTCATGTACATATATTGCGCGATAAGTCGATATATTGATTATTGCGACAGGCCTAGGTAGGGCTGCAAACATAATCAGCAGCCATTTAAAAATGGATGTTCCCCAGGGTTCTGTTCTGAGCCCTCTTATATTCAAATGATTGTGAGCTTTTAGTCAGTTGATCGAGGGGCAAGGTTTAAGCAGACTAAAAGATCAGAGAAGTCTGACATATGTCACCAGAGAGAAATCTACCATTTACACCAGAAGATTGAGTTTAGATTAAAAATTATGACAAAAAAAAGAAAGAAAAAGAAACACATACATGGATGAATCTTTCACAATAATATTTATATTTCATAAATATTTCATATTAAATTTATATTTCATACCAACTTTAGTTCCTTTACAGTAAAACAGAGAGAAAAACAAACTTTGAAAAACACTCAAAGTGGAAAAAAAACAAAAAACAACTGAATATAAATGCAAATAAAACCAGCTCAGTTGATATGAAATAATTTCAGAACTAGACTACATTATCTAACTACTGTATACTATTTTCAATGACTATGCCACTAACTTCATTGACTCCTGACCAGTGTCGGGCAAGTTACTCTGAAAATCTAATCAAATTACTGATTACTGATTACTCCTTTTAAAAGTAATCACGTTACTGTTCTGATTACTTTATTTAAAAAGTAATTAGTAATTAGTTACATTACTAGTTACGTTACTTTTTTCTCCATGAAATTTGTGAAATCCCAGCATACACGCTCCCGATAAATATTTGTTATTAAAGCATCAACATTCACAGAACACTGTTATTTTTAACTAAAGCAAGCGGCTGCTGCGTGCATGGTTTGGCATGGCAGAATGCCAGCAAAGAGCGCCGCATTTTATAATCTCTAAAAGACATCTCAGTTCATCGCAATCTCATAAATCTCTGTTAAAACACCATAAATATATGCATAATGAATCTTTCATAATGTCTACAATTCGTATGTTACAATGAGAGGATTCGTGAGCACGCAAATTTCAGCACTGCATTGCTCAACGCTGCAAACAAGTGTTATAGCCTAAATAAAAACTCTGCATAC